AGCTAGCGCTCAAGCCCCCCGTGGTCGAAGTTGAGGAGCTGGTCGTTTCATGGGGGGTGGGCCTTTGGGCGTGCAGCTGCAGCTCCTTAAGAACCTCGGTGATTGCGTCGAGGCTGGTGGAGTGGAGAGGTCGGACGACGGAGGGAGCCATTGCCAACTCTCCCTCCACTGTGACGATGAAGTCTAGGTCCCTAAAATGCACGTGCCCACCCAGGACCCAGCTGAGGTTGTGATTAGCCATCCAAGGCCTGGTGTTGATGTCGAGACACGCAAAAGGCCCCTACCTGGCGCGCCAACTGTTGGTGTTTCGAGTAAATACCAACGAGTAAATTTGTATTATTGCGCATCTAGCTCGGATGGTGTGCTAAGAGGACACGAAGTTTATACTAGTTCGGGCGGAATGTCCCTATGTCCAGTCCATTGCTGCTGCTCATGTTACTAGCACTGAAAAGTTCATAGTAGGGGTTACAAATGGGCGAGAGAGGGACAGATCCTAAGTCTCTGTTGGAAAGAACGAATGGGTACCAAGAGCTCGGTTACTGCTCGGCTATGTGTTCGAGGTTTGATGCTAGTGGTTTTTTTCTGATGTGTTGCGATGCCCCTTAATGGGATGCCCTACTTCCCCTTTTATAGGCCAAGGGAAAGCACGGGTTACCATGGGAGAAAAGAGGAGAACGAGGGAGAGAGAGAAAGTCATTCAGGGTCACCGGGCCTTTCTTTTCCTTCGTGCGGGTCCTGCTGACATGGCAGGTGGTGACAGGGACAGCTCCACGCTGGGCGCTTGTTTGTCGGTGATGCCATGCCCTAGCATTGTTAGAGGGTCGTGACGTCCCACTCTGCCCCGGCGGGCAGCGCGGCGAACCAGTGTGCTGATCAGCGGCCGTACAGGGAGTAGGCAGCATAGTGATCACGTGTCCATCAATGTGGGCGATGTGAGTTCCCTAGAATGACATGTTGCAGGGATGGGTCATGTTGAGATGTGACCGCTCCCTACATGATGCCAGAAGTTTGACCTTAGGTTGTACTTTTTTGGCCCGTAGTGATTGGCGGCGGCGTGAGCTTCCATTAGGATCCATGCCTAAGGGATCGGGTGAGGCAGAGCCAGCCCTCAAACATTGGGCTTGGTGGAGCCAGCCCTCAGACGTCGGGCGAGGCGGAGCCAGCCCTCAGACATCAAGCAAGGCGAAGCTAACCTTCAGGGGTCAGACGAGGCAGAGCCAACCCTCGGTGGTTGGCAAGAGCTAGAGCCAACCCTCGAGAGTCAGACGAGGTGGAGCCAATCCTCAGGGGTCGGCCGAGGTGGAGCCCATGGCCTCAGTATCGAGTGAGGCGAAGCCACCCTCAGGGGTCAGACGAGGCGGAGCCCACGGCCTCGATGGTCAGAAAGAGCTGGAGCCAACCCTCAGGGGTCGGACGAGGCAGAGCCCGTGGCCTCTGTGGTCGGCAAGAGCTGGAGCCAACCCTTAGGGATCGGACAGGGTGGAGCCCACGGCCTTAGTGATCGACAAGAGCTGTAGTCGCGCTTTGGACCGCTCGGATGAATCAATGTTGATGGTTATTAGCTTCTCTTCTTTGGGTACCCTAGTATTGGTCCCCGACATAGGAACACATCTTTGGACTAATGAATGTTCAATTTGAGAAAGATAGGATATGTAAAGCATGCCAAGCCGAAAAGCAAGTAGGTGTACCACACCCACCAAAGAGCATCATCACTCCCTCAAACCCATTGGAGCTCATCCACATGGTTATCTTTGGACCGGTTGCCTATGTTAGCATTGGCGGTAACAAATATGGTCTTCTTATTGTTGATGATTATTCTCGCTTCACGTGGGTGTTCTTTGTGTATGATAAGAGCGAAGTGCAAGGTAAGGTGAAGACCTTCGTTAGAAGAGCACAAAGGGAGTTTGGGCTATGTATCAAGATGGTGCGAAGTGACAATGGCACCAAATTCTGCAACACCAATGTTGAAGAGTTTCTTGATGTGGAGGGCATCAAGCATGAATTCTCGGCTCCATATACCCCTCAACAAAATGGGGTGGTTGAGAGGAAGAATCGCACTCTCATTGATATGGCAAGAACAATACTTGATGAGTACAAGACTCCGAACAACTATTGAGCCAAAGCAATCAACACCGCTTGTCATGCTATCAACCGCCTCTATCTTCACAAGTACTACAAGAGGACTTCATATGAGCTCCTAACCGGTAACAAACCCAAGGTGTCATACTTTAGAGTATTTGGGTGCAAATGTTTTATTCTTAATAAGAAGTCCAGAAGCTCTAAATTTGCACCTAAGATTGATGAAGGCTTTCTTCTTGGTTATAGTCCAAACGAGCACGCCTATTGGGTTTTCAATCTTTCTACCGAAAGAACTGAAATAACGGTAGATGTGACATTTAATGAATCTAATGGCTCTCAAGTGGAGCAAGTTGATCTAGATGTTGTAGGAAAAAAAGAGCCACCTTGTGAAGCAATCAAGCATTTGGCCACAGGTGATGTGAGACCAGTTGAAGCTAGTGAAGAAGAAGATCCTCCACTCCAAGCTTCAACGCCACTCCAAGGGCCAACTGTTGTTCCAGGTCCTGTGAATATGCAGGATGTGGAGGCTCCGCGCCTGAACACGGAGGCTCCGGGGCCTAGAGGTTGCACGCCAGGACGCAGAGGCTCCGGGGTCTAGGACAACAATGAGCAAGAGGATGAACATGTTCAAGATGATGAGCCTCAAGCTGATGAAGATGATGACAACCAACCCCTACATCAACCTTCAGGTGGACCACCTCACCCAAGAGTCCATCAAAGTGTACAATGGGACCATCCCATTGACAACATCCTTGGGAGCATAAGAAAGGGGGTAACAACTCGAGCTCATCTAGCAAATTTTTGCCAATTTTACTCGTTTGTTTCCTCCTTAGAACCACTTAAGGTAGATGAAGCTCTTAAGGATCTAGATTGGGTGATAGCTACGAAAGAAGAGTTGAACAACGTCGAGAGAAATCAAGTATGGGAGTTGGTGGAAAGACCCAAGACTAATGTGATTGGCACCAAGTGGGTCTTTCAAAACAAGCAAGATGAACATGGTGTGGTGACAAGGAACAAGGCAAGATTGGTTGCTCAAGGGTTCACTCAAGTTGAAGGGCTAGACTTCAAAGAGACGTTTGCACCAATGGCAAGACTTGAAGCAATTTGGATGCTTCTAGCCTTTGCTATCCATCATGATTTCAAGCTATATCAAATGGATGTGAAGAGTGCTTTCCTCAATGGTCCACTCTCTGAGCTAGTCTATGTGGAGCAATCACCAGGATTTGAAGATCTTAAGCATCCTCATCATGTCTACAAACTCCATAAGGCGCTCTATGGGCTTAAGCAAGCACCAAGAGCATGGTATGAATGCCTTAAGGATTTCTTGCTCAAGCAAGGCTTTGAAATAGGCAAAGCCAACACTACTCTCTTCATAAGAAAGATTAAGAATGATATATTTGTGTGCCAAATATATGTCGATGACATAATATTTGGTAGTACTAATCAAACTTTTTGTGAAGAATTTAGTAGGATTATGACAAAGAGGTTTGAGATGTCTATAATGGGTGAATTGACGTTCTTCCTCGGGTTTCAAGTCAAGCAATTGAAGGAAGGGACATTCATATGCCAAACTAAGTACACAAGGGATATACTCAAGAAGTTTGACATGGCAAACGCCAAACCCATCAAGACACCTATGCCAACAAATGGGCACTTAGACTTGGATAAAGATGGGAAAGTTGTTGACCAAAAGGTATATCGTTCCATGATCGGCTCCCTACTTTACTTATGTGCATCTAGGCCGGATATTATGCTTAGTGTGTGCATGTGTGCTAGATTTCAAGCTAACCCAAAAGAGTGCCATCTTATGGCCATTAAGAAAATCTTGAGATATTTAGTACACACTCCTAACTTTGGCTTGTGGTATCCTAAGGGCTCCAATTTCAATCTACTTGGGTATTCGAATTCCGATTACGCTGGTTGCAAAGTAGAAAGATAAAGTACATCGTGGATATGTCAATTCCTTGGACGGTCCCTAGTGTCTTGGAGCTCTAAGAAGCAAAATTCGGTAGCCCTTTCCACCGTTGAAGCCGAGTATGTGGCGGCCGGTGCATGTTGTGCCCAACTACTTTGGATGAAGCAAACCCTCAATGATTATGGATGTAGCTTTACCAAAATCCCACTTTTGTGTGACAATAAAAGTGCCATAAAGCTTGCAAACAATCCCGTGAGCCACTCAAGAACTAAGCACATAGACATCCGTCATCATTTCTTGAGAGACCATGAAATCAAAGGAGATATCGCAATTCACCATGTGAGCACCGAAAAACAACTAGCCAATATCTTCACAAAGCCTCTCGATGAGTCAAGGTTCTGTGCTTTGAGGAGTGAACTAAATATACTTGACTCTCATAATATGGTTTGAAATCTTGCATGCCTCTGTTTGTTATTTTCTATTTAAACTAGATAGGTTTGCAAAATATTCATAAGTGTTTCAAAATATTGGTTCTTATGTCTAATCTTGTCTCAAGTAGCTATTGTTATGAATTGTTGATCTGCTGGCTAGCTACAAGAGACAAGAAGTTCATGACCATAATCAAAACACTGAGAAATTACCTTGAAATACAGACCTAGTCTCAGCTCGATGTCAGTCCGCGGAGGCTTCGCGTTTCAGCGCCGAGGTTCCGTGGCCCGAAGGCTCCGCGGCCTAGCGCAAAGGCTCCACGCCCTGACGGTTCGGTTAGGGTTTGGGAAAAAATCAAAATATTTTTTCATCTTTCCTGTTTTACCCCTCCTAGTAACTTCCCTGAGTTATTGGGGCCTCATTCGAGCCGCACTGCTCCCTTCTCTCTCGCACGCGCGCTTGCACTCGCTCTCGCCATCGCCATCATCGTGCCATCTCTCGCACCACTGCTGCACCGTCGCTCAGGCTATCCTGGTTGTGAGCGAGTGAGCTATGGTGGTGCCCAAGGCCGGGACTCATGGGGAGTCCGTGGAGGAGGAAGAAGGAGCCATCTTTGACGTCTTTTGAAGGAGCAGTCATCGCCGGCCAAAATCCTTGGCTCCTCAGCTACGCCCGCAACAGAGAAGTAGTCCTTGAGGCCGTCTACGATCATCATCATCCTCCTCCCCTTCGATTTCTCACATCCAAGGTGAAACCCTAATTCCACCATGGATTCAATTTGGGTTATCTTTTCGATCGATTTCTTGCGTAGACGGAGTTGTTTTAGTTATTTAGTGCTAGATTTGATGGTACATTGTGCTATATTTGAGTTGATAGTTGAATCAAATTAAGGGCTCATCCACCAGAACATAGAGGCTCTAGGCATCTGCGTGGAGGCTCCAAACCCCGGAGGCTTCGGGTCAGAGCACGGAGGCTCCACGATCTGGACAGACTGAGTGCCTTGATTTGCTTCAAAACTCAACTCAAACCTACTATGATGTTGCTATTATGTTTAAGCACTGTTTCTTATCCTCTCTACGTGTTCTTTTCGTTAGATGGAACGTGATCCGGGTCAGAGAAATGAGAAGAGGTCGAAGCGCTCCAATGATCCTATCGACCACCAGATCAGAGGGATAGTTGTTCGAGAGCTTGCTGGTGGTGGTGAAGATGTTGGTCAAGGCAGTGGGCAGCAGGGCAGAGGTCGAGGTAGCCAAAAAGCTCAACCTAGAAGAGGCAGTGGCAGTGGTGCTGGTCGTGGCAGTGCTGGCCGTGGTGCTGGTGCTGCTGGACATGGAGAAGGACCTGCCGATGATAGAGGAAGAGAAGGGAAGATCATACCTGTAGTTTGTGCGCCAGACACACCTCCTCGGTTCTTAGAGTTTGATCAGTCCTATATTGTTCAGCATCAGGGTGCCCTAGTGAGGAGAGAGCCAATGATCTATGATCATGGAGTCCAAAGGCAGCACAGTAACTATCACAATTTGGGAGTGCCAGTCAAGAGAGCTAGGGCAGAAAATCCCTATGTGTGGCTAAATGACAGAGGGATAGACTACAGGTTTTGGTCTCTATTTCAGTTTGACTTCTACAAGATTGTGATTCTTGCCAAAGAAAAGAAGATAGTGCAGATGAAGTACATTGACTAGGATCGCATTGAGAGCATGAACACTCTAGATTCCAATAGAGTGATAGATACAGTGACTGAGCATGGGCTGAAGGACATCATGGGTTTCCAATATGATTGGAATCAAGAGATCCTAGCTCAGTTTCATGCCACTTTCTTCCATGATGTGGCAAATGAGACCATTCATTGGATGACGGAAGGAGTTCACTACAAGGTAGATTTCACTACTTTTGCTCATCTTCTAGGGTTTGGGAGTGGAGATAGATATGCAGACACCATTCAGACAGAGAATGTCATGAAAGCTGAGGATATTGTATTTGCATATGAGAGGAGAGATCTAGCTGATGGGAAAATAGTAGGGCTGAAGTCTTTCTACTATGCCATGAACAACCTTTTTAGAGAGATAATCAACGCAAAAGGTGGTGACCCAACTTCACTGAGGAAGTATGCAAAGAACTTGCTTGCAAGGATGGCTCTAGGGAGTGATGCTTTCTCTGTTAGCAGGTTTATTTGGGCTGAGTTGAGTGACTCACTAGATGCTAGGAATGATCTCTCGTATGCTCCTTATATCATGTATATCATTGAGAGGGTGTCTAGCATTGAGTTTAAGAAGGATGTGGAGCACAGGCCATACAGGTTGACACAGTGGCAGCACACAGGCTGGGAGGCACTGGTTGGGGCTACTGGCATGTCAGCTGCAGTAGGGGCTGCACCCTCAGAGAGACCTAGCAGCAGCAGGCCTTCCTCTTCCCACCATAGATCTAGGGGGAGCAAGCTCAAGGAGTTGCTCAAGAACATATTTTGCATGTGTCAATATGCTGTGGATGCCACTTATGAGGGAAGGAAGGACATCAATGACATGAAGAGGCAGCTGGGACTTGAGGTTAGAGAGATTCCACCACCGCTAGTGTTTCCACCCTATGAGGACAGTAGTGAGGATGATGGAGAGATGGAGTATCCTCATGATCAGAAGACACTTGGTGAGAGGATGAACATCCTCAGACATGTGAGAGAACAGTCCAGGCCACAGAGGCACACAACTAGTACACACACAACCGACAGGGCTGTTGTGAGTGACAGTGATGAGGAGTCCGGTGAGAGGACTATTTTAGGCAGCAGGCAGCAGACCGACCCGGTAGATGATGATGATAGTGACATTGGCAGTGATTGGAGAAGGGAGTAGTGAGACGACCGTGCCTTACCTCTCTTGTTCTTTCCCTTTTTGGCACCTGTTGACAAAGGGGGGAGGCAAGATTGAGATGTTTCTTTTATGTCGTCGTCGTCTTTCATCATAGTGTCATCGTGGTAGTGTAGCGTTGAGACGTTTAGTTGTGAGTTGTGAGAGTCGATGTCATTTTCAAGCTCTTTTTCATCTTAATGGTTTGTAATAATACTTTGTTTCGCCTTTGTGTGGCGATTGGAGGTCATGGGCATGGATATGTGGACTTTATGCTTGTAATGGATGCTAGAACTATGGTAGAACTTGTTTATATTCATATGTTACTAGCATATTAGAATTGTGTGGTGTTTGCTTATATATCTGAGATGCTTCTGTTGCTGTTGAAAAAGTTCTGTGTGTGCAGAACGTGGAGGCTCCACGGTTTATAGACCCAGGATATTTTCTTTTATGCATAAACTGTCATATGCATCATGGATTATTTTTTACACACTTCTTGTGCGCCCCACGATGGCATGAATACAATGTATCTTTCACACTTGCTCTTAATATATGCAAAGTATGTCTTGAAGGGACATTTTTATAATTCCAAACAAATCTTGCATATATTAAGGGGAGCCCTTGTATTCATGCCATCAAAAGCTCAATCTTTCAATTAAATGTAAGCTTTAATTGTGTTGTCAACATTTACCAAAAAGGGGGAGATTATAAGTGCAATCAAGCTCTATGTGGGTTTTGGTGATGTTGACCACATAATTAAAGGACTAATGGCTTTGACAAGTGTTTGACATCATATCTTTAATCGTGGATGCAAAGAAACAAAGGAGGAGACCCCCCCAACTCGAATGGATGGCTTGCCACGGCTCCAAGAGCTAGTTTAATTGTTTTTATATTTTGAAATTGAGTTATAGGACAAGCCGTACTATCAAGGGGGATACTAATGGTGTGCTGGATGGAACCAAGTGCTCAAAACTCCATCTGCAACTCAAATAGTCCCAGCCACAAAAAGCCAGCCGAGCTAAATTCTTATCTGGTCTGGCCAGCGCCACGTGCGGAACCTCTGCGGCGCGGAACCTCCGCGTCCTGACGCGTAGGCTCCTGGGTCTATCTGACCTGACCGTTTTGTGGGTGACGGTGGGGGTATTTATACTCACCCCTTCGCCCCAACAGTTATCTTTTTCCTGACTCATTCACTTTGAACAGAAGCTCTCTCTCTCAAGCTCAGTGACTCCCAACTCCCTTGCTCAAAATCTCCGTGATTCATTGAGGGATTTGGCTCTAGAGAGTGTGAGAAAGCTCGAGAAGATCCTTCTCCTCCGTTCTTGTGCACTTGGTGAAGCCCTAGACGCTTGGTGTGTTCGTTACTCTTGGAGCTTGGCTCCTAGATGGCTAGCGGTCGCCTGGTAGCTCCCAATCCGCTGTGGTTGAGCACCGGGAAGTTTGTATTACCCTTTGTGTGACTTAGTGGAACCCTTTAACCTATTACCTTGGTGATAGGTTGGAGACGAGGAGCGAGTTGAAAGAGACTTCATAGCCTTTGTTTCTAACCTCAATAACGTGGATGTAGACAAGCCTTTGTGGCGAGTTGAACCATGGGATAAATCCTTGTTTTCACTCTGATTGCTGTTGTTGTTGCTATTACTTGTGATTTGGATTGATTTTTAGGGTTTGCATCCGATCTACGAATTTCTCATCTTCTAGGTGCAACCGACTGTTTGGATAGCTCAAATACTCCCAAGGAAGGCTGATATTACATTTGATCTATTTTTCATTCGTTAAATTCCGTAGTAGATCGAGTTCATACTCTGATCCCCAGAGGTTCCACGCTCAGTCCCAGAACTTCCGTGCCCCGGAACCTCCGCGTTCAAACCCGGAGGTTCCGCGTTCTTACTGTTTTCATAAGTTGATTAAATTTTAGAAAAAGACCTGTTCACCCCCTCTAGGCCACTTGCTAGATCCTTTTCAGCTCTATTTGTATACAAAGAATTTTTGGAGTTTTAGATAAATACCATGGTTTTGTAAAATACTTTGATTTTAGAGTGTCACGAAGTGTTTGGGTACAATAAACTTTATGGTTTTGAATACCATGGTATTCTTGAAACTGTAGTCTTTTTAGAGTTTTAAAAACTCCAGTCTAATTTTTTTTTCTAAACCACGGTTTTGCACATCAATGGTTTTTAAAATTACAGTTTATTGATATTATGCTTTCTTAATACTACAACACCAAAACCAGACCTAAGAGTTTTAAAACCCCTTTAGGGCCTGTTCTGTTCCCAGGAAATGGATCTCTGGAACGATTCCAATCTAAAATGTTGTGCTAATTTATACGATGTTTGATCATCTGAAATGATTCCTGGTGGAATCAGGGCTAAACGAGCGATCCCTTAGTCGGCCTCCGTGATCCTACAGATGGCAGCGACGGTCGTGTGTGAACGACAAGGGGATCACAGCGGATGCATATCAAGGTGTGGACGGTAATGGTGGTGATTGATGTGGCAATGATGGTGGTGATGCCATGCATGGTCCGCCTTGCCTCTCTACCACGTGTCACCCGAGAGAAAACAGAAAAGCCTCCTGAACACGAGTGTACTGGAGAAGCCGTCCATAAGAAAAACTCGGGGCTCCTAGATGCCAAGGTGCTTTGGCCCGGAGCGCGCTTGATGTTGTGCATGGGATTAGCCTGGGGGAAACTGTGGATTGGATCTGGCAATGTATACACAGGCCTTGTTTTGGTATAGTTTAGACTTCATATGTTTAATTTTTGTGGCTTCGGTTTCATCTTTGTTCTATTTGCTTGATTTTTGCAAAAAACCATTCTCTAATGTGCATGTTTTATAATTTGGTAGGTTTTTTTAACTACTAGTGGAGAAGCGCTTACAAAAGTCCTACTAAAGGAAGTCATACTCTAAGTTGACCTAGTCATACTCTAAGTTGACCTCCAGAATGGGTCTATGTGCACTTGGATCTTCAAAAGGCAACATCGCAGAGCCAAAATCATATCAAGGTCTTGTTTGAATGTAGTCAGATTCACATTAATCCACGTGTTGTTAGGGTGGATTAGAGCGAATTCGCCCACTCATTCCAAAGGTGAGCACTGAAGTACTGAACACCCACTGCAGCCCAACCAAATATCGAGCGAGGCAGCGGGGTGGACCTCTAGTTCCCTCGTCAACACGACACATCACATTCCCTGGCCTCCTAATATCTAGCTCGTTTTCGGCCATTCCACACGTCGCCTTCCCTTCCTGCAGGCGCTGCAGCAGCTGCTACCGATGGACGCGACGGCGTCGGAACCCTCGTCGCCGCGCAGCCGGCAGCTGCAGGGCAAACGCCCTCCGCGGCTCGGCGTTAACGTGGAGTCGCTCAAGATCAAGAAGCCGGCCGTCACGCCACGGCCGAAGAAGAGTCACCACCTGCAGAAGCCACCCGCGCGGGCTCCGGTCATCATCTACGACGCCTCGGCCCAGGTCATCGGCGTCGAGCCTGCCGACTTCGTGGCGCGCGTTCAGCGCTTCATAGCAGGGCCGGAGCTCTTGAAGTTCATAGGCCCTTTGGTCGCTGCCCCCGACTGCGTGGAATACGCAGGACCGTCCCCGTCCGTCGTGTCGTCACCACCGGTCCAGTTCCCGCCACGAGATTGCTTACTCTCGCTCACCACCGCCGCTGTCTCTGCGTCCACGAGGCTGCCGGCCACCGAGAGGGCCGTTCGGCCGCCGCTGCCTCTGGCTCTGCTCCGCCCTCCTACGGACTACAGAGCGGACGCGGACAGCTCGGCAGCCGTTCTTAGCTTGCCGCGACGGCCGGGGATCCTGTCGCCTGCGGCTCTGCCGCCGGCTGCGTGCTCTGGGCAGTTCTCGCCGATGCCGTTTGACCCGAGCTGCCTCCCGGGGCTCAAGGAGCTGAGCCCCTTCTTCCTGTCCGCTGCCAGCAGGTGCGTAGAGGAGCTGGGATGCCTGTCCACGCTGAACCCAAGCACCCTGCTCCTCGGCGTGCCATGTCCGGCCACCGTCTCGACGCCTATGTTCTTCAGCAATGTCCCAGAAATGTAAGTGACTCTACCCTCCTGATTTGATTACTGTGTATTTTACTTTTATATATACACACACGTCCTTTTGGATTGTTGGCTCCAAAAACAATAGCACTTACTCCCAATTCTCCTTAGCAACCAGAATTAGAGCATGTTTGGTAGAGCTCCGCCGCTAAAAAATAAAGCTGAATCTGAGATTTACCATGGAGCACCTCCACTGATCAAAGATCCACCATACATCTATTAGGAAACTTTTTGGCTACACAGCAACTCCAGATCCATGAAACTTAGGTTTTGTTGGAATGGCCTATTTTGTCCTTAGGGTGGACCCATGTGTCAATGTCTGTGACCCATTATTTTCTCTTTTTCATTAAATTAAATAAAAATGTTTCTAAGAAATAAATAAAAATAAACAAGCTTGTTCCCGGGCGGGCTTCTTCGCATCACCGCCACCCTGCCATCGCCGCCACCCCCCAGGCACGAGGCCGGGTTGGGTGGTCGCGCTGCTGGCCATGGGGGCTGTGAGCCCCGCCAGGGGTGCCACGACCATGGCCGCGCCCCCAGCCATGAAGCTGGCCATATGAGTGAGGGCGCGAGATCGTCGGCCATCAAGGAAGAAGGAGGTTGGGGAGGCCACCGGCCGCCGAGGAAGAAGGGGGTGGGGGAGGTCGCCGACCGCTAAGGAAGAAGGAGGGGGGGGGGGGTCGTCGGCCTCCTGGCCTGTTGGCAACGATGGGAGGAAGGAGGCGGGCGGCGGAGAGTGTTGTACGCGAGAAGGAGAAGATGAAAAGAATAGAAAACGAATCGGTGCGGGAGAGAGGTGTGTAACCAATGATAATGATGGGTAATTTCCACCCAAGTCCATGAGGAGGTACGATAGAGGTTTTCGTGGAGCACCTCTCGAGGAACTCTACCAAAATGGTGAATATGGCCTCCCACAGATCCACCGTCTTGGTGAATCCAGATTTGTTGGAGCTAGAACGTTTGAATAATTTTTGTGTGAGACGAAGCTGTTTTTGTTGAATCTATAACTCGTGGAGCTATATGAAACAGACCCATAACTTCAACTCCGCTCAAAGTTGCTTCTGCTCTATAAAATCTGATAGTCTCTGTAGAATAAACTGTATGCGTGGAGTGAATCGTGAGAAACTATTTTTTGAGCTACCAATCCACAGTTCATTTTAGAGAATCATCTCACAAAGTCAATATACAATCATTTTTCAATAAAATTGTTTAGCAGCTCTGGAAGCTTTTTTAGAAGCTTTGACAAACAGACTCTAACCTTCAGAAAATCATGTATGTATGTATATATATATATATATATATATATATATATATATATATATATATATATATATATATATATATATATATATATATATATATATATATATATATATATATATATATATATATATATATATATATATATATATATATATATATATATATAAGTTGACATTCCTCGCGAACTATTCTCCGTCGCCAGACGCGGTTCGTCCGTCCCTTCGCCGGTCTGCCGCCGCTTAGTTCCTTGTAGCGAAATGGCCGGCTCCGGCTCCACTGGTCCTCATCCGGTCCCACTCCTCTGCTGCTGCCGATGCTCGCGCCGCCCAGGTTGTGTGTGCCGCCGCCGCCTAAGCTCAGGCCGTCCAGGTTGTTGCCGGCCATGGGCCATGGCCATGGGGTGCCGACGCAAGGCACCTTCGTCGTCGGTCAGGGGGTGAGCTGTGCCCAGGCGAGCTCCGATCAGGGGGAAGGCCGAAGGGGACGGATTTAGCGGCCAGGCAGCGCCGACCAAATGCAGCCCACGCAGGCGACCACGTCTTGGGCAACACATGTTCCTGACCGTGATGCAGCAGATGGGATGGCATCTTAACGGTCAGTAAAGAAGAAAAACGAAACATTGTGAAGGCCACATGGTTCCTAGACGTGTTGCAGCCGATGTTCTAGGTATGGAAATTGATTTCTATTTCTCGTGCTAGATGTGATGCACTGTGAAGACGACATGCAATGCAAATTGGCTTCAGTTTCATTTGCTAGAAACTAGAAATTGCTTGAAACTCCTCCAGCCGCGTAAGCCTCGCCCATGCACGCTATGCATTCGGTAAAATGCCACAAGGACCTGGGTGCTCTGCAACCCCTTGATCTGCTATGCCTCCTATGGACACTGAATTGTACAATTTTGTGAACATATAGTGCTGTGATTAGGGAAAAAAGATATATCAAATCACAAGAACCGGTGTGTGAAGGAAAAGCTGCGACTTGGAAGCAAACAGATGACATAAACCAAGGAGAAAAATATCAAACACTCCTGTACACTGCATATATCAAATCACCAGCCATATAGCATCCTAAGGGCATAATAGACTATTCCCACAAAAACCTGGAGCTAAGATGCGAGCCAAACAGGTAGAGCTGCTCCGTGGTGGAGGTGCTGTGGAGCTACATTTAATGGAGCAGAGCAGTTCTAGACAGACCCTAACAATCGGGTGGGCTGCTGCAGCTGTTTTTTTTTCATCCCTTTTTTTCCTTTTTTTTTTGCTTCCTCTGTTTATTTATTGTTTTTCTTCCTTCTATCTATATTAATATAATCATGACAAAGTTCTTGCTGTCCTTTTGAAAAAATAAATGCCCTGATTAACAACCGGGTTACTTTCCTAATCTTCATTCATTGTCGCAGTAAATCAGGCCGTGGGGAAGGAGCACCTGCTCCACCTGTTGGTGACGCCGAGCGATCTCCAAAAGCTGAACCAGCTGGTGACCCGCAAGTTGAAGTGTGTGCAGGCTCAATCAGGCAGCTCTTCCAGAGGCTTGTTCATGTTCGAACCACCATCTCATCCTTTGGTGGAAAGCTACCGTCCGATGCTTGGTTCAATCATGTCAAACATTTGACCTCGGATGCAGAAGAATCTCTGGAACATCTGCACTACAAGATGATCCTGGCCAAGCTTGGGGTTGGGACACACCTCAAGAAGGTAATGCCCAATGTGCCAGGGACTTGTTCCAAAACAACAGCTATAAGCTGCATGCACTTACTAGCTTCACAGGAACTTGTCATCTTACCGATTACTGACAAATTGGAGGGCCTTCGACATGGAAGCCCTGGATTGTCTGGTGCAGTTCTTGGGAACTACAGTGATATGTTGTCACTTAGTTCTTCAGTCATGCGGTGCATCCTTTTGTGTCGTGGCATTTTAGGCGTTATTAACATAGTTAACATGGAGGGTAAGAAGGAGAGCCTAGAACTTCCTGTGTTTGCTTTTGATGATCTGACATATGCTGGTCAGAACAAGGGAATTGGGGTGAATGCACATAGTGTACCAGCACGCATGACTGACCCTATATATTTGTCGTCTATGTTTATCAGAAGTCTTTTGTGTTTGGATCTCTCAAGCTGCAGTGGCCTTACACAGCTGCCTCCTTCCATTGGCAACCTTTCTAATCTGGCTGCATTGAAACTTTCTCACTGTTATTCCCTTCACACATTGACAATGTCAATAGGAAGCCTGAAGAACTTGCAAATTCTTATTCTTTCCTGCTGCCATGAACTAAGGAATTTACCAGTGTCACTTTGTGAGCTTTCCAAGCTAAGATTGCTGGATTTGGCAGGCTGTTCCAGCCTTGAAAACTTACCTGCTTCTCTAGTAAATCTTGGCAATTTAGAGAATCTGAACCTATCATATTGCAAGGGATTGAAGGAGCTTCCACAACCATTTGGTAACCTCCAGGAACTGAAGTACTTGAATTTATCAGGCAGCCATCGAGTTGACTTGGATGTTGAGTGCCTATGTACACTTGCAAACTTGAAATCCCTAACTTTGTCGCCTCTTACCAGTATTCAAGGCTTTCCTGATTCCTTCAAAGATCTGGCGAATCGCCTAGATAGTTTAAGATGGTGGAAGAAGAACCAGATCCATCACCAGTGCGTCCCAAAGGTTACTAAGCTCTTTTACTCATGTAATTAGTTCTGTTTGAGAATGATTTAATTTGTGAATAATATTGATACTCAAATTTCCTATCCTTTTTGTCCACAGGCTACTTCTTTGCATTCATATAGGTGTTATGAGCAAAGTATTATTGACATGTTACTTTCTGATGAGTCTGACAATTGCGACCAGATAGTCACTTATGCTTGCATAGTTGGTGAAAGTGGCATGGGAAAGACTGAGCTAGTCCATCGAATTTACAATAACCGAATGATTTTGGATACCTTCGATTTGAGAATATGGCTGCATATGTGTGATAAAAAGAGGCTATTAGGTAAGATAGTAGAGCTCACTACTTGTGCATCTTGCAGTGATGCCTCAATCAGTGTTCTTGAAGAAATTGTAATAGAAGAACTTACTAGCAAGAGGTTATTACTTGTACTAGACGATTCTGAAATCAAGAGCCAATATTTCTGGGGTTATCTACAGAAGCTACTTAATGTTTGTGCAAAAGGAAGCGCTGTCATTGTAACTACCAAGAGCAAGGAAGTTGCTAACCAGATTGGAGCAATGCAAACCTTTTACTTGAGTCCTCTATCCAAAGAAGAATGCTTTATGATTTTCAAGGAACACGTGCTTGAAGATTTAGTTATGAATAATTACTGTCAGTTAGAAAGCATTGGCTGGAAGTTTGTGGAGAAATGTGGTGGCAATCCAATGTGCATTAAAGCCCTAAGTGGGTTGTTATGTCATTCTGAAGTTGGATTGTCTGAAATTGATATGATCGTTGATGGTATCTTACCAGCATTAAGATTATGCTACGATCTTTTGCCATCACACCTTCAGCAGTGCTTCAAATTTTGTTCCCTATTCCCCAAAGATTATATTTTCGTGAAGCATCACATCATCCGGTTATGGATAGCTGAAGGCTTTGTCTTCTGTGAAGAAGGTACTAAGCCAGAAGATACTGCCCTGCATTATTTTGACCAACTATTCTGCAGATCATTTTTCCAGCGTTCTCCATTTCATAGTGATCATAAAGATAGCTTTGTTATGCATGAGCTATTTCATGATCTGGCACACTCTGTTTCCAAGAATGAGTGCTTCAGATGTGAGGAACCATTCTGCAGCTTAGCTGAAAATGTTCCCCACCTATCCCTTGTTCTTTCAGATTTTAAGACAGCTGCACTTTCTAATGAAGTAAGGAATCTGCAGTCTTTTCTGGTTATCAGAAGATGTTTCCCAGTGGTGAGAATTTTTACTTTGGATGATGTTTTCGTGAAACATAGATTCTTAAGGGCACTAAATTTGAGCTATACAGACATACTAGAGCTGCCAATTTCTATTGGGAACATGAAGCACCTGCGGCTCTTGGCTCTCAACAACACCAAGATCAAAAGCCTTCCTATTGAAATAGGACAGGTAAACAGTCTTCAGACATTGGAACTGAAGGATTGTTGCCACCTCATTGACTTACCAGGAAGCACAAGTAATTTGGCAAAGCTGCGACACCTTGATGTGCAGAAAGAATCGGGCAACGTTAATGTTGGCATGCCTCATGGTATAGGACATCTGACAGATCTCCAAACACTCACGACGTTCAACATTGGGAATGATTTGTTGCATTGCTCGATTTCAGAGTTGAAGAATCTGAATGGACTAAGGGGACATGTTCATGTAACTGGGCTTGAGAATATTAAGACAGCCAATGATGCCGGAGAAGCAAATATGATGGGTAAGCACTTGCTAGAGGCTTTGACATTGGAGTGGTCTTACCAGGAAGAAGACATGGACGATGACATGGGCAAAGAAATTACTAATGAGATTCTTCAAAATCTTCAACCTAACAGCAACATTATGGAGCTTGCCATTCGAAATTATGCTGGAAATCTGTTTCCTGTCTGGATGCAGGACAATTACCTTTGCAAGCTCATCTCAGTTACACTTGATAACTGCCATGGCTGTAGTGAGCTCCCTTACCTTGGTGATCTGCCATCTCTTAAATCTCTTTTCATACAGAGAATCAATGCTGTTGAAAGATTTGGAATCGAGACTAGTTCTTTGGCCACTGAAGAAAAACATCCCATTGCATTTCCATCACTGGAGGTGTTGAATATATGCGAGATGTATGATTTGCAGTTCTGGGTTAGCACGAGAGTGGAGGATTTTCCACGACTCTTCCGTCTTTCTATCAGTAGATGCCCAAAACTCACCAACTTGCCTCGCCTTATTTCCCTAGTGCATGTGTCATTTCATTATGGTGTTGAACTGCCGACCTTCTCAGAACTTCCATCACTGGAGTCACTAAAGATAGAAGGCTTCCAGAAGATTAGATCTATTAGTTTCCCACATCAATTGACAACCTTGAAGAGGTTGGAAATTATTGACTGCAAAGAGCTGTTATCAATATACGCTTATTCCTTGTCTATTTCAGATTTAAAAGTTGTCAGGTGCTTGAAACTTGATTTGGTTGGAAGTTCAATGGAAGACCATATCGGCCAGAAAGTGGTTAGTGGAAGGTATACGAATGTACTGTGTTGTTCTTTTTGCTTTTATTACTTCCTTTGATCACAACTTTAAGTGCATCTAGGTTTCTCCTAATTCTATATGAAATCATTTTTTGTTTCACATGAATCTAGTAATGACAATCTTGTGAAGTGAATCTATATAAAATTTTATATATTGATAGTCAAAGTTATAAAAGTTTAACTTAGGACAAACCTAGATGGACTTAGCATACTGCCAGCCCACGTTATAGAAATGGCCATGATATTCTTGTGCTAGTGTTAGTGCAGATAATTAAGAGATCAAAGTAGGAGGAATAAATTAAGAAATAAATTAAAGATCGTTAAAATTGCATTTGTGGTTTTAAAAAAATTGTGTGCCAGATTTTGAAATGGAAGCAATATCGTTATCACTGTATTTTTCCCTTGAACATGCAGATCACTATATTCTAAAATCTTCTAGGAATACTTATTTGTTACTAAATGTTTCCTTGTACACAGGAATAGCCTGACAAGGAGGCATATGGTGCTAAAATTTTTGACATATACAGATCTCTTGGATGATGGTAGCAAGTGGGAAAAGTTTGGAGAAAAGAATATATTTGGCTACATATTCGCAAGGTGAGAACATAATGTGGGCATGTAGAGAAACTACTAAATCTGTAGACTGTTTACATCAGTTTCATCTTTTGAGGAGTTGTGTTTTTTACTGTTTTCGCTCCCATTGCTGTAGGATATAAATATTATAAAATATTGGGTTCCTAACCTTTGTTAATGTACCTTACCAATTGTAAATCAGGCACTTCTTATTTATAAGCATAAATTGTGTTTTACTCAAGCATTTTAAAGATTTTATAATTGAACCAGTAATCAAGCATTTTAATAAAGAATTATAATTAGGCGCTTCTTATTTATAAGCATAAATTGTGTTTTACTAATTGTAAAATACGAAGTACACGCAGCAAAATATGAACTACTGGTCCTAGATTACCAACAGGTAAATCAAGCATGTCTTAATTTGTATTACCATCCAAATAGGTAAATATTTCTGTCTACGATTCTATGACCTCTGAGGAAATCTGATGATATTTTCAGTTATCTTATCTTATAATGTAATTTTTCAGGTCTTACTACACATGCATTTGGAGAAACTCGACAGGATGCAGTGCAACAAAGATTTTGCAACCGGACAATAATGATCCCAACACATTGTTTGTCATGTACATCTCTGAGCACAACCATGGATTCTCCAATGAACCACACCTTGACTTGCCTAGTCAACTTGGAACAGGTTGTAAACGAAATGAATATGATGTGTCCAGTGATGAAAACACATCTAAAAAACAACGGCACGACTCTTTTGTCAGCGCTTCTTGTACTGTGCCGCGTCCGGCAACGGGGGAGGCGACGCCATCGAGCGCTGACGAGCCAAAGGCAAAGAAGATGGGCCGGCCCAGGAAGCCAAACCCACGCGTCTTCGGGCCGGAATGGAGCAACGCGTGATCCATCAAGGAGCGATGCCGTCTGAAGCCAGCCTACCGCCGGCTGTCCGCGTTTTATTATATACTCTGTATTGTTGTTGAGGAGGCCTCCTATTGTGATGAACTTATATCTCTGAATACTAGAACAGACCTTGTCTAATCCTGCCTTGTTCCTGCTATTTCTTCAACCAAATCCAATTCCCAAGCCTCACGCTAACATCTTCCGAGTGAGTTGTCTTTAAGTATATGTTTGGTATAGTGCCCATGCTATATGCCAAGGTCCAACTATTTCTCATGTAATACATGGTATATATATTTGACCTTTGTTTATCATAAGTTAGTAGGTTTCCAGTAGGCAGTAGACTGTTGTGGAACAATATACTATCGTGAAATTAAAGCTAAGATTTTTTTCTTTGAAACGAATCCGGCTGCTAATTATATTAAAAAGTAGATGAAGCTCAGACTAGCAAAATAAAAAATGGTACAACTACGATCGGTTGGATTGGGACATCGACATGCACCGAACTCAACTCAAGAGATGAAGAAAAATAACTTTGGCCGATCGGAATGGGAATGGGACATCGACACGAGGCACACAGTCCGAAATGCTCGACCGCCTTCGAACCACAAGCCGATCACCACACTGCACCACCAACAACCAGACAACAGAGTCGTCAGGACGAAAACACCGTCGTCACCGCTTGTGCCGTCGTTGCCGACACTGTCCCACACCGAGGTAGCCCACTACCGAGCGCAAAAGCTAACTGTCGTAGTTCGCTGCAAGCCATAGCTGCCTCTAGCGCTCACGCCAGCCGACTCCATCTACTGAGATCCAAGCGTGCACACCGTAGCTTCCAGGACCTAGCTACCTCATTGAAGGTAGAAGTGCCACACACGTCCTCCAGCTCAGAATGCCTCCTTGCGCCGGAAACAACTGCCGCTGAGAGGGACTGCCCGCCGCCACACCACCTCGGCAACACACGCCTGCTGGCCACCACCCCCCACGTGGGCCTCATCACCAACTCCATGGGCACCTCCCACACTGATGAAGGAAAATTAGCAATACTAGAGTACAGTTACAGTTTTTTCCCCTAAATCAATCCATTTTATTTACGTCTAGCAAAGTCTAAATGAAAAGTTACCGATCAAAGCTTCGGTATATCATCTTGGAGGCCAAAGAGTATTTGCAGACGCTAGTGGAATGGAAATTAAAGAGAGAGTGCAACAAGGTGGCTCATGAGCTAGGTCATTTAGCTAGGCAAAATGTTCATACTTAACTTGTCTGAGGCAGGCACCTGCGTGTCACTGACCTCTTAAATGATGATCGTAATATTTTGCCCAGTTAAATAAAGCTCTCTTTACCCGCAAAAAAAGTCTAAATGAAAAGTTATCAATATATTTATAATATTAAATAAGCATCATTAGAATTGTATTCTTTTTTTTACCTTAGGTGGGGTTATTATTCGGCTACCGAGCTCTGCTTGCCACTCAAGCGAAGTCTTCGTCGGGAGGGTTTTACCTGTGTGCCATTATAAAAGTTTGTAATTACTCACGAGCCGTTAAAAAGTTTGAGTGGTCATAGGTGCCACTGGTCGGAACTCTTTTGCCCTCCACGTCATTCCGTCGACTATTGCTGCTAACAATGTCAAATGGAGCTGCGTAAAGACGGAGTGCCCTCAGGCTAGAGAAGCTAAATGAAGTTGCATTTGCCTCATGTGCCACTCATCATCACATAGCTGTTTGCATGTCACCATGAAATAACTTAATAAACACAAACTAAGTAAATAACTTAGCCTAGAAATTCATAGTCATATAATAATACTCCAACATCAGAAAGAGTATTCAAAAGGGGTGTGAAAAAAAGGTGAAATTGCAAGCACGCGGCAAGGTACCCAAGCCGCCACCACGAACCGTCCGAGCTGAGCAATCACGCCCATGAGGCCGATGCTGCCGCCGCCGTAGACTAGGTTGACGCCCCTCCGCACCTGCATGTTGCAGTCACAATAAGGGAAAAGGCACGGACACGACGATCAGAAGCAACCAAGCAAGAACTAAAAGAAAAAAAATCAAAGAGAACGACGGTGGCAGTGCTCTACTAGGCTACTAGCGCATGGTGGGCACGATGAGCTCCCTGGGCAACGTCGTCAACGTGCTTGCTTGTATCCAATGAATTAATGACATTATTATGTTGCATGTATCGGATCGGATCCAAGACGTCGATCATCGTTGCTTCTCGACCCCTTGGCCATATTTTCCATCAGTGGATCGATTTGGATGACAAGCTCGCTCCATCAATCGGCCAAGGTGGAAACAAGCCCGCAGCAGCAGCAGGCTCTAGTGCCGCCTTGGCATCCTGCAGGTCGAGTGGAAGCCGTGGACGCAGCGCGGCAACACATGTAGCTGGTCTCCCTCCACGAACGCCGCCGGGCAGATGGCGCACTCCTCCTTGTGAAAGCTCTAGTTTGGTTTTGGTGAATTGATGAAACCCTAAGTGCCAACCTAGTTTATCAAAGTGATCATGAGATAGGTAGCACATTCCAAGTGGTGAAGCAAATGAAGATCATAACATGATGATGGTAATCCCATGGTGATGATCAAGTGCTTGGACTTGAAAAGAAGAAAGAGAAAAATAAAAGGCTCAAGGCAAAGGTATAAGTGGTAGGAGCCATTTTGTTTCGGTGATTAAGACACTTAGCGAGTGTGATCACATTTAGGTTCGATAGCCGTACTATTAAGAAGAGTGAAACTCGTATCAAAATACGGTTATCAAAGTGCCACTAGATGCTCTAACTCATTGCATATGCATTTAGAATCTAGTGGAGTGCTAACACCCTTGAAAATGTTTGTAAAAATAGCTAACATACATGCACAAAGGTGATACACATTGTGTTTAGCACTTGGGAGCAAGGGTTCGAAACTTCACCGGCGGAGTGTCCACCCGTAGAGTGCGGACAGTCCAACGGTGCCACCGATGCCCTTGTAAGAAAAATGGACCCTTGACCCATTTACTTTGGATTTTGGTGTTTGATGACCAACACAACCAAATTGGACTAATGAATTTGCAAGTGTTTGTTTTGTAGTCCAATATGGTGCAAGACGTGACTTGGACGAAGGCGACATGATGATCTGATGATCAACATCTCAAGCAAGACCTTAGAAGCACAAGAAAAGACCCAAGATGTCAAGCAAAGTCCAAGCATGAAGATAGGAACCAAGCCGTGCGCAAGATCGCAAAGAAACGAGCTCGCAGAGGCGACCGGACGCTGGACCGGACGCTGGAAGCGCGACCGGACGCTGGACCGGTGGCTCGACAGACAGGCGACCGGACGCAAGGACCGGACGCTGGCGGCAACCGACCGGACACAGGAGCGCAGCGTCCGATCGAGTATCTGAGAGAGGTTCCAGCGCTGCTGAATCGCGACCGACGCGTCCGGTGGCGAAGACGAACGACGCAAAGCGGCGTCCGATCGGCGATTCACGGCTACTGTCGCGGGACGACCGGACGCGTCGGTCGGGGCGATTCATTCAGCGTCC